GTCCCATCGCCGAATGGGACTTAGTCTCTGCAGCTGAAATAATTTCCCATTTACTGAACCAAGTGGGAAATAGCAAGGCAGGTACAAAGGGTTTGCACCAGGTCTGGGGACACAGGGGACACCGTCTTAAAGGGGCCCTGTCCCCAACAAGTCTGGGGACACGGCCTTAAAGGGGCAGTGTCCCAATCTTCCTGATGTCCCAAAAAAGGTGTTTAAAGGGCCAGCACCAGTCACATAAAGAGTCCATAAGCCCCAATATGCCCACCGACAGTCTTAAAGGGCCATACACACCAAATAAAAAGTGCATACATTTTCACAATCTCCCAGGGGCCATAGTCATGCGGGAGGAGGCTGGCAAAGAGGCTTCTCCACAACCCAGGGAAACAGGGCAATTTGCCATTTAAAGGGCCCGTTACAAATAGTAGTTTGTAACAAGGTGTCAATCCATATCTGCCAAGTGACCCTATGTAGGGGACCTCAGTCCCTATTCTGTTCTGTGTCAGCGTGTGAAGCCATATCACCAAAATAAAAAGTGCATACATTTTCACAATCTCCAGGGGCCATAGTCATGGGAGGAGGCCAGCAGCCAGGCTTCCTCCACAACCCAGGGAAGCAGGGCACTCTGCCATTTAGCGGGCCCGTTAAGCAAATAGCAGCTCTGTAACAAGGTGTCAATCCATTTCTGCCAAGTGACCCTATGTAGGGGGAACAGTCTCCATTCTGCTCTGTGTCAGTGTGTATCATGGTCTCTGAGGACTGGTGTCAATCCATATCTGCCAAGTGACCCTCTGTAGGAGGAACAGTCCCTATTCTGCTCTGTGTCAGTGTGTATCAGGGATCCTTAGGACAGGTGTCAATCCATATCTGCCAAGTGACCCCATGTAGGGGGACCAGTCTCTATTCTGCTCTGTGTCCGTGTGCATCAGGGGCTCTGAGGACAGGTGTCAATCCATATGTCAAGGTGTCAATATGTCATACGTCAGGTGTCAATCCATATTCATTGTGATTTAGGAATGTTAGGTGATTTCTGCCCTTTATGGATTAAAACCAGACTCTGTATCAACTGTGTAATTTTCCATGGGAGTTTTGCCATGGATCCCCCTCCGGCATGCCACAGTCCAGGTGTTAGTCCCCTTGAAACAACTTTTCCATCCCTATTGTGGCCAGAAAGAGTCCCTGTATGTTTTAAAATTCGCCTCCCCATTGAAGTCAATGGCGTTTTGGGCGTTTCGCCGGTTCGCGAACATTTGCGGAAGTTCGCGTTCGCCGTTCGCGAACCGAAAATTTCGGGTTCGCGACATCACTAAACATCATTTTAAATGCTGCAACTCTGCCCAACCAGGACAGAAATGTGTCTTTCCATTTGTCCTTAGTGGACCAGATCTCAGAGGCTATTTTAGCGTAGTTCGCTTTTACTATATTGTCTAGGTTTTTGGTGAATTTGACACCCAAGTCAAAGTTGTGGCAAGTTTTAAGGTGGTGTGTGGTCAAGGTTGAAGGGCATGGCCTGGGTTTTAGTCGTGTTTAGCTTATAGTAGGAAATTTAGCTATATTCACCTGGGATTTCTGTGAGTGCTGGTAGGGAGGCTTTCGGGTCCGTGATGGTGAGGAGAACATCATCCGCGAAGAGGCTGAGTTTGTGCTCTGTCTTCCCTATGTGAACCCCTTGGATTGATGTATGAGCCCTGACTTGCGTCGCCAATGGCTCAAGTGCCAAGACATATAAGAGGGGAGAGAGCGGGCAGCCCCGACGCGTTCTGTTTGTGATATCGAATGATGCATGGTATTTTGGCCGTGAGAGCATTGAACAGTGCCTTGGCCACACATCGCCTCCCCTCAGCTTGCATCATAATCCCCTTATCTAAACGTAGGGGTACCCCTTTAAATCCTACATCCCCTGATAGCCCTGATCTGGGTGAACAACATATCCAAAAATCACCCAGATCAGACCAGGGGTTCGGGAAATGTATGGAGGGAATAAAATGACCGACCGCACTGACTGAGACAGCCGAATGCGGTTCTATGCGAATGGGCCCTGCGGTCGGTCCTGGAATAAGGGAACAAACTGTACGAAAGCCTCTAGCTATAGAGGCTAGGGAGGGTTCGCCTGAATCCCCTCGTTCGGTTCTTTCTGTCTACCGAACGAGGGGCCGTTCGGTAGTTAGGAACCGAACGGACCGGGCTTGTGGAGGTTTCAGCGGTGTTCGCCTAGTCGAGTGTCCGATTTCAGTTCCAGACACTCGACGGCAAAACACTGCTGTTCGGGAGTTTTAAAATGGACGCCGCCACGTGTTCGTTTGTCGAATGGCGGCCACCCCCGAGAACAAAGGACGGCTACTTAACTTGTCAATTACCCGTTCGCAACAATGTTAGTTTATTCGAATGATTCTACCGAACAATCAGAGGAATAGAATTCTTTTAAACACATATAAAACCAGCAGATCACACGAATGCAGTTATTCACAAGACAGCCCAGTGCCATCCGCTACATCTACCGTAGCATTGTGTGGACCTGAATCTCTTTGTATGGTGTATAGCTTCTCATAGAAGGAAGCAACTTTGTTGCTTTTGGCTTCTGGTGTTATGAGTTTTTCATTTGTGTCTGATAAGAAGTGTCTGATTCTGGACCTGGCCTGCATGTCTTTCAGCGTGTTTGCTAACAATTTCCATGTTCTGTTACCCTGGGTGTATTGTGAGTGCTTTAGTTTTTTTCAGTAGGAAACTAGTGTGATGTAAATTTGCCTATTGGATTTTCTTTTGGGTTTGTAGTATTTGGTGTCTAATATCCTTGGTGGGGTGTGCTTGGTTTTGTATATTTAAGAAACAAAGCTTCCCGGTCCATTCCATGGAGTGGAAAGATCTCTTAATGTGAGCGGCTTGTTTTAGAAGTTGACCTCTCATGGCCGCTTTATGGGCCTGCCATAGTGTATCTACGGACACATCAGAAATGTCATTGGTGAGGAAGTATTGTGCTATTTCTGTCACCATGGTCAAGGAGAATGTAGGGTCCTGGAGGAGCGATTCATTAAATCGCCAAGGTGGTTTGTGCTTGAAAGCGTGTTTGTCTGCTAGTGTGCGGATACCTGGGGCGTGATCGGACCATTTGATGTTTCAGATCACGCAGTCCATGACCTGTGAGGTGTGTACCTTGAGTGTAGAATCTGTCTATTCTTGTGTAACAGTTGTGTATGGAGGAGTAATATGTGTAGGTTTTGTCTGAAGTTTTTTCGCCCTCTAGGTGCCGTATAGGTTATGGGTGTTGAAGAGGGCATTTAGTTGTTTAGCTAGTTTCTCCAATGTTTTGAGTCTCCCTGGAGTTTTTTCTGACGTGGAATCTAGTGTGGGGTCTTGAACACAATTGAAGTCACCCCCTAGAATGCGTACGCCCTGTTGCACCTTTTCTAATTTGGACAGGCCTTTGGCGATGAAGTCCCTCTGGTTGTCGTTAGGGGCATATATGTTGGCTATGGTATAGGTGATATCATTGATTCAGGTGACTATTATTAAAAAACGTCCCTGAGGGTCAGTGATTTTGCTGATAAGGGAACAGGAGAGTTGGTTACTGAGCAGCGTAGACATGCCTTTTGACTTGTTTTCGGATGTGGCGTGGATTTGATAGGGGAATTTTTTAACACTAAATCTGCAAGGGTCAGATTTGCAAAAGTGGGACTCTTGCAGGCACACTATGAAGCCTTGGAGTTTTTGAAGTTCCCTATATAGTGCGTGGCATTTCGATGGGAAGTTCAACCCCCTGACATTATGCGAACTATACTGTTTAGTCCGTGGTAGAGAGAACCTCACACCGGATGTTGTCACTGACCCCTCTCCCTGCACCCACCTCCTTGGAAACAAAGAAGAAATTAGAAAGAAAAGATGGGGGGAAAGATATTTGTGAAAAGACAGTAGCAGTAGAGAACTCCAACTGTGAGCAGTACGTAGCTGTGCTCCGTGGAGCTAGCCGGCTTCGCCTTACGGCAAAGGAGTTTCAGATTCAACTGTACTGGGTGTGACACCCAGTTCCCTGTGGGGGTCAAGGCGTACTCTGTAGGCCAATTGGTTTGATTAACCATACCCCTCACAGGTGGATCTATGTGTTTAACATTTACTGTAACATGCCCCAACCCATAGGCATGGATTGCTAACATACATTACTACCATCACTCAGGTGGGCTTGGGGCCGCTGTACTCTGGGCCTTGTCTTATCTACCTGCGTATGTATGGAGATGTTTGGATAGGGATGGGGGGAAGGGAGGCATGGTAAAGCCCGTAGCAGCTAGGTACAGGGGGGAAACATGATTTTTGACTGTAACTAAAGTGTAGCTCCAGTTTTCTAGTTAGAGAGTGTCGGCTTGATGTCTTTACTCCCCCCTGTGAGCCAAGGTCAGGCTCGTACCCCATCTATCTATGACCCCTGTTGAGATAAAAATAGAGGAAAAAAGGACATAGGGACTGGTGGGTGGCTAGTGTCCAGTGGCTTGTCTAAGGCTAAGGCTCTGATGATATCTAAACCTCCCACATTAAAGAGTACCGTATGCCAGGGGTGTGCTTGCCAGACAAAGTGGAGAATAGTTCATAGAACAGGAGTGAGTTCTCCAGGTCTGAGCCACTTCAGTGTGGGTTGTCTCTGTATGCGCTTGGGCCGAGTCTGCGTTTTTGTGTGTCATCGTAGCGATGACACTTGGGAGGGCTGGTAGCAAATGAACAGTGGCCAATTTTTAAGTATGTCTGTAGTGGTAACATAGTCCCTGGGGGTTTGTATCCTTCTCTGCGTGAGCTATATTTCTAATTGCCCTTGCGGGGGTTCTGCAATGTGTAGCAATGTTTTCCAGGCAGTTTCCCCATGTCTGGGCATCTCTGCTAGGTCTCAGATTCTGTGTTGTTCAATTAGTTCTTAAGTGACCCTTGACCTGAGGTTATGAGAGGGTGCAGAACGGTCAGGGGTGTCAGAGAATAGTGACTCATTTTTGGTAACTATTTACAGGTGACTGTCGCGGGGGTGTTTAGCGTTTCAGCTTCTTCCAGTCCGGTAAGTGTGGGTTGAGCTCCACTGAGGTTGTAGGCGTAACTGCCAGTTGGATGTCCCAAGTCTTTAGGAGCTCTTGGCCTTCTTCTAGGGTTAGTACGGAGGTTGTCTGACTATTGCGGGTGATCAGTAACCGGGTGGGGAACCTCAATCTGTATGGGATTTGGTGCTTTCTGAGTGCTTTTGTCACTGGATTAAAGTTCATCCTTGCTTGTAGCGTAGCCAGGGAGATGTCTGCGAAAATTTGCACCTCCTTATATACCTCTGCTAGGGAATTGGGGCTTCTACTTGCCCTAACTATTTCTTCTTTCATATAGTGGTAATTGGCCTGCAGGAGGACATCCATTGGGGCTGAAATTGGAGCTACGCGTGCTTTTGCCACCCTGTGGATGCAGTCCAGGAGGAGCATTGCGACTGGCACGTCTGGGCAAAGGACTTGAAAGATGCCTGTTGCAAAGGCCTGTAAGTCACTCACCACCACAGATTCTGGTATCCCCCTGAGTCTGAGGTTGTTTCGGCAGGATCTATCTTCAAGATCTGCAAGCTTGGAGGACAGGTGCCTTTCCAATTGTTGTACCTTAGCAGCTAGGGAGCTGTGGGAGGACCGCTGCTGGTTAAACTACACTTCCAGATGGG